ACTTTTAACATGAATGCCTGCTGGATTTTGTCAAAGGTCTTTTCAGCATCTATTGAAATGACCGTGTGGTTTTGTCTTTAAGTCCATTTATATGCTTCATTGAATTTATTGAATTATGCATATTGAATCATCTTTGCATCTAGGGAATAAAGCCAATTTGATTATGGTGGATGATGTTTTTAATGTGTGTTTGTATGTGTTTTGCAAAAATTTTGTTGAGTACATTGGATCTATGCTCATTAAGGATATGTGTCTATTGCTTCTTTTTTGGTTGTATCTTTACTTGATTTGGGTATTAGAGTGATGCTGGCTTCATAGAAGGAATTTGGAAATTCTCCCTCCATTTCTATCTTTTTGAATAAATTAAGCAGTATTGGATGTAGATATTCTTTAAATGTGTGATAGAATTCTGCTGTAAATCCATCGGCTCCTGGGCTTTTTTTAGTCGGGAGGCTTTGTATTACTGTTTCAATTTCTTTCTGTGTTATGGGTCTGTTTAAACTGTTAATCTCTTCTTGGTTTAGTTTTGGTGGTTCCCATGCCTTTAGATATCCATCCATTTCTTTTAGGTTTTCATATTTAGTAGCATATAGGTTTTTAAAGTATTCCCTTATAATGTTCTGTATCTTTCTGGTGTCTGTTGTGATGTTTCCCCTTTCATCTCTGATTTTGTTGATTGGAGATGCTCTTTTTTTTTCTTTTGCTTAACTGGGCTAGCAGTTGTCAATCTTGTTTATCTTTTCAAAGAACCAGCTCTTGGATTTGTTGATTCTTTGTAGTGTTTTCTTTATTTCAATTTCATTAATTTCTGCCCTGTTTTTTGATATTTCTTCTTGTAGGCTGGGTTTGGGTTTCATTTGCTATTGCTTTTCAAGTGTCTTAGGTTGCAATGTTAAGTCATTTATTTGTGTTCTTTCCAATTTTTTGATGTAGGCATTTAGAGCTATAAACTTCCCTCTAAGGACAGCTTTCAGTGTGTCCCAGAGGTTTTGTTGTGTTGTATTGTCCTTTTCATTTAGTTCCAGGAATACTTTTATGTCTTTCTTAATTTCTCTTATGACCCATTCATCATTCAGGAGCGTGTTGTTTAATCTACATGTGTTCATGTGGTGATTAGGGCTTCTTCCAGCATTGACTGTAAGCTTTATTGTATTGTGGTCTGATCTAATGCATGGAATTATTTCAATCTTTCTGTATTTGTTGAGGTTTTTTTTGTGCCCCAGTACATGGTTGATTTTGGAGAAGGTTCTGTGGGGTGCTGAGTAGAAAGTATGTCTGTTGGTGCTTGGGTGGAATACTTGGTCAAGCAGAAAGTATGTCCTTTGGTGCTTGGGTGGAATACTTGGCAGATGTCTATTAAGTCCATTTGATATATGGTATTGTTTAATTCACATGTACTTCTGTTAACTCTCTGCCCTTTTGACCTATCTAATAGAGAACGTGGGATATTGAAGTCCCCTACTATTAATGAGTTGGGATTAATCTGGTTCTTAAAGTCCTGTAGTATTGTTTTTATGAAGTTGGGTGCACCAGAGTTTGGTGAATATATGTTCATGATTGTAATATCTTCTTGATTCATTGTTCCTTTGATCAAAATGAAATAGCCCTCTTTGTCTTTTCTGGTTAGTTTCAGTTTAAAGTCTATTTTGTC